TTTACTAAGCAAAGTAAGCAATACAAAAATGTAATTATGAATGTACAAAAAAGTGCTGTGCATACCTCTCATTCCTCGCTATAAGCGGAACTCTCCTTGACCTGTCAAACGCACTTCACCTCGATGAGCACTACGCATCTACGCTTAACAAAGATTAACAATTAACGATGTCTTCTTCGATCGGGTGGGTGATCGCAATAGTGCGTTTTCGAAGACTAGTCCATTCAATGGGGTGGCGAGAGGCCGTTGCTCCAAACGGTCACTGCAGCTGCCGTTTACTGTATTTCGAGTACTTCTCACAGTACTGCCCTGCCGCCGTGGTCTACTGGCTAAAGTACTCGGCTGCTAGCTAACCCGCAGGTCGCGGGATCGAATCCCGGCTGCGGCAGCTGCATTTTCGGTGGAGGCGAAAATGCTGTAGGCATGTGTGCTCAGATTTGGACGCACGTTAAAGAACCCCAGGTGGTCTAAGTTTCTGTATCCCTTCATTGCGGCGTCTCTCATAATCACATAGCGCTTTTGGAACGTTCAACCCCACATATCACTCAATCATTCTTACAGTACTTTTACTTACTCTTCACCACCAATCGCATGGGGAGAGGGGGGATCTCATGACTTTATATACATGTGCACCATCTGTTTAAACTACCGCTGATAGAGACGTCACAGAGAAAAGCTGATGCCTGTACCCCCCCCCCCCCCCCCCACCCCCGAAAAAGTTTCTGGCTACGCCCCTGACGCCACCGTGCTGTACCCTGTCGTGCGCAATGTGCAGTGTTTTCCCCCTCGGCATGGGACGAACTTGGCGTGCCTCTTCCCTCCCTCCTGGGTAGGGAACGAGGCAGTGGTTCACTCTTCCTTTTTGGAGGCGGATATGACGATGGCAGTTTTCACTGGACTATCCGGGCCCACATTGTTTTTCTCTGTAAGGAATCCTGGGAAGACCGGGACATAAAACGCGAGTGCTGAGACGCTCCCGAGAAACTCCGAAAAGCTCCCGGAAGCTCCCGTCAAGCTTCCACCGAGAGCTTCCATGATGCGACCACCATCATGTGGTAACACGCTACCTGTAAATAATGTTAATAAAGGTTACTGGTAACAGCTTCGGACTCCTCTCTTCGATATCCCCCCGAGACTCTCACTGGTTCTGATCCTCTGGGCAGACCCCCGACTACATCAGCACCAATTTCTATAATTCTTCTTGCATTCGTCTCAGTAACAATCGCTACACGCGTTCTGGTGCTAAATAAGGCTGCCCCAAAAGTGTCGCAGGACCCCTTCAAATTGAAGACGACGCAGCGAGCGATGGAAAGGAAAATTATAAGTATAACGTTTAGAGAGAGGAAGAGGGCAGAGTGGGCCAGGAAACAAACAGGGGTTAAAGATATCATAGTTGGAATCAGACGAAGAAATGGACATAGGTTGGGCCCGTAGCGCCTAGGCAAGATAACCGCTGTTCATTAAAGGTAACTGACTGTATTCCCAGAGAAGGCAAACGCACGAGAAGAAGACAAGAGGTTAGGTGAGCCTATGAGATTAAAGTGACAGCAGAAAGCACGAGATTGGGTTGATTAGGAAATCATGGTAGAAGTCTTTGCCCTTCAGGGGGCGTAGCCAGGCTGATGATGATGATGATGAAACAATCGTGTGGGGGTGGAAGGTGGAAGCAGGACAACGATGGGGCCTGGGGCCGCTCTATATATGACCAAAGACTTTTGTGCCTCGGTGACCCCTCTGGCCCGGTTCACTGTCCGGAGCTCTGGTTACAACCCGCACAGAGCAGCCTGCTATCGCTCCTGGTAAGGTTCTGGCTCTTGCGACAGGGACTCAGAAGTTATCTAGAAAGAATAATTGGAGTTGGTTCTGGTGCTAGGACACAATCTGCAGTGAGCAGAGGTTTCGTTATGCCTATAAGGTGGGCTCTGCAACACATTCAACAGTGAAAGCTGTTATGAGATCACAACTCGGGTCACGCGCAGTTGTCCTCCGCCGCCGCCACCGCCGCCAGTGTCCATAACCACATCGCGCAAAATCAGAAAAAAAACTAGCAAATAATACACCGGGGCTCGAACCCAGGTCCGCTGGGTGCCAGCCCAGTATTCTGCCACTGAGCTACGCTGTTTTTTTTGTTGCTTTATTGCCTGTTTGTAGGCAAACCACAAGCACAACAAAAACAAGCAGTAACAGTCCGACACAAACTAAAATTCTCTATGTGCTGCCAGAGGCTCTGCCCTCGACAACCACTCAGGTACAATCTCCTGAGTTTTCTGCAGTTCAACAAACTTGGCCATACATTCACGGAAATACATTCGTGCAGACCGTGCATCCTGATCGCAATAAAAACGTTCCATATAGACCCGCCATAAACAGTGAAGGCCACATAGCATAATCAAATCAAAAGGCATTCCCTCTTCGTCGACTATTGGCAGTAATTTTATACCATAAGAATTTAAAGGTAATTTCATTTCTAACGTCCTTTGAATTACACCCCAAAAATATATTCCCTCCCGACAATGTGAAAAAAAAAAAACATGCTATATTGTTTCCGGTTTTTCACAGATAAGGCGATTTGTCCCCCAAGGTGGGTAAAAACCATGGTCTGCTTCAAATGTCCAGACAGATAATGTACCCGTGTGAAACTTAAAAAAAGAACTTTGCGGCAGAAACCACTTGCATTATCTTCACTTGTTTAAACACATCTTTCCCTTGCCCTCCAGTGCACATGGCACGATACAGAGGTTCAGCTAAAACAGCATCACACACATCGTTGTACAACTTTTTGCGAGTCACTGAAAACAAATATTCATTGAGAAATCTGACAGATAAAAATCGTACACGTTGCTTGTCATTTCGTGGCAAACTTGCCTTAGACAGGCTCGATGCCGGGAAAGCAATCATGTTAATACGACTTACAAAGCGTTTTAACGCAGTGGAAGAACAACCTATAGGGTGCCTCGATGCGCGCGCCCCCGCTGTGGGCATTCAAGCGCTCTAGAACAATCAGTCGTCGAACAATGCGAATAGCGTGACGAGTGGGCCGTGCAATGCTCCAACCCATTAGAAAATCTTGTTTTGTTCCTCTATTAAACTTCAGCCATAATTCGTCATCGTCGACAGCCACTGAAAAACAATTGACACAAAATTCCATGCAAGCGTTAAGCGGATACCACGCTTCTCAGAAGAATGACGAAAAATAACACAGGGAATGCTGGCCTACTACCAAAAAATTTATTAATAATGCCCTATAGCGGATATCAAGCTAGTGTGCTTGCAGTAGTTACCCAATAAGTGTTTCGAGAAGGCTCTGAAAGGCCGCTCTTCTAGCTTTCGTTGTGACTTCAGCAGTATTTGTTAGCAGTATTCATGTTGTGAAGAAATTTTAACAGCGAAGCTGTTTAGCGAGTTTTCCGCTCCGTACCAAAAAAACTATCACCATCACAGACGGGCATGCCTCCCACATAGTTCACTGAACCCCCCAAACGGTTATGTAGCCCAGAAGTTTACGTGACCCTTCGGAAAACTATCATCATCATAATAAGGTATCTGCCACAAAATAGGTCAAATATCTCTACATGCAACTTCTAATAAAAAAATGAAGCAAACAGTAAAGATGGCTGTGAAGCGACTGCAGCGGTGAGCCAAAGACGCCCGAGTGCATAAAATACCTTGGAAGCAACAGCGGCTTCGAGAAGGCCATGCGCGACGCGCCCGAATCGCGTCTGTGACTTAACTCTGCCCTGAGGATCAACGCAGCCACGACTTAAACAGGAGCAACCTAAAAACAACCTGCGCATCACCTAAGGCCTAGAAGCGTGCGATTTCGCTGATTTTTGGCTTGCGCAGGGCAAGCTTCACCAATTAAGCTTCACATGCAGTGCAGGGCAAGCTTCACCAATTTTTTACTCAACCGCACTTACTTCCTCATTAGCGCGTAAATTAAATGCTATAAGGCCTGGTGGGTAGATGCGAAATAATTATGAATAAATTTAAAAAGAAATAAAAAAGGCAGATCCTACGTACAGTGGGAATCGATGAGCACGAATTAGAAATGTTGATATATGTCACTTTAATATCAGCACAACGTTACGAGGTGGAGGTAAATGGTGCCGTACATGACTTCCGTGCAATGATTATCATGTTTGCACCAGTCATATACCTTAGTCGTCCATTAACGTGCCGTAATACCAAATTTGGTATATGTGAAGCTAGCAAAACGACCGCCAGCACTGCTTGAGCGTGGCCTGTAGTCATGACTCACATGACATGCACGTCATTATTTCCACGTTTGTGTCGGTCATTTATGTTCGCCACGCAGTCATGTCATACTATACCAGTTTTGCAACATGCCATGTGAACGAAACCTCCGCAAGAGCAGCAAGACCATGAAATGTAAATCACGACGTTCATGACATACGTATCATGATTTTCATGTTACGACTAATCAGTTATACTCGCCATACAGTCATTTTATATCATACCAATTTTGGTATAGGTATACCATTATCGAAACGGCCAGGAGAGCTAAAATTCGAAGGCGGCTAAGATAGATAGATAGATAGATAGATAGATAGATAGATAGATAGATAGATAGATAGATAGATAGATAGATAGATAGATAGATAGATAGATAGATAGATAGATAGATAGATAGATAGATAGATACGCTCAAAGTCGCCGAAATTCGCTAAGAAATGCTTCGCATTTAAAATGAAGTGACTACAAGGAATAGGTGCACACTTCTGCTTTCTTTGACCTCGCGGCGCGCTGAAACGGACACCGCAAGAACTGGCACGCACGCATTCATCGTGGGGTCACGTTTAATGCGGAAACACGCGAACAACAAACAAACGCGCCACAAGAGCAGGTGCGGCGGCGGCTTTTGGTTTTTTTTCTTTCCTTTTTTCGTTGGCCAACCACGATCGCGGGTGTGCGTGTGGCGGCAGCTCTGCTCCCCACTCTCCATAAAGCGTTCTCTTCGCTATTACAGTTTCGGTTCCGTTTCTGGCCGCTTCGCCTTTTGGGTCGGTTCCCGTTTACGAGAAGACCGGAGCGAGGCGGCCCATCGAGCAGACGATGCAACAACCACCATCGGCGGTACGCACCGAATGAGTCGCGATGAAGTGGACGAGGTTTGCGCTGTTGCTGTTGCGTGTGTTGCGGTGAGCGTTGCTTCTTCTGTTGCCGTCATGGATTCAGTGAAGCGTCATCTGCATAGAGCACTTTGAGAGAAGAACACGCGCCAGGTGTCGTCCTGCTCCAACAGGTAAAACGTTCTCTCGTCCGCACCCTTCCCCCACTGTGTCGCGTACTGCCACTGTTTGAAACTCGGTGGACGCTCGTTTCGGGCAGCGCATGCGACAACTCCTGCACCATTCTGGCAATCTGTTTTTGTTAATTAATACCACTGATAGCGATAGAACCCCATGGGGATAACAGAGATTGGCTGCAGCGTAAGGAAGCCAATCGCGATCGTGAAATTCCATCGGGATCAGACTCTTCATCAAAAGTACCCGCGTGACACCGAAGCGTGAAGGATCGAAAACAATGGTGAAGGCAAGAACACGGACGCAGTCGGCACTTCCGATAAAATTATTTTGGTGATACCGCTACCACTTGCGGCGTCACATAATTTGATAATTTTAGTACATCTGTATTAACAGTCAGTAATCCTTCGAAAGGGCGCTGTCACACCCTTTTTTGTTTTTTTTTCTTCTTTTCTTTGACGGCGAATAGTCGGCAGGCTCAATACTTAATCTGATTTTCACTTTGATCATGTGGGCTTTCATACCTCGCGCCGCGTCTTCCTACGACAGCGTTTGATGAGGCACCTTATTAGTGTAGTGGATTCTGCATAGTACGTTTTTCGGCCTGATTCGTTTCACTTTTTATTCCCTGCCAACTTGGCGCGCTTTATACCATCATATTTTTGCCCAAGATTGGAAAATATGACCGTGGCAGTGGACCCTGAAATTCCACGTTTATTCTTCGGTAGCTCAAACAGCATTCCAACTATTCACGATTAATTAAGACACTCCGTCGCGAATGCAGTTTTTCGGCTTTGCCTTTCCGTAGAACCACTAGAGAATAAAGTGTAGCTCGAAAGGCACAGCTACTTCAACGTTGGTCAATGAAATGTGCGCTTTTTTTTCTCTCTCATTTTTAACCACTTTGGTTAATACAACCTTTGTATAATACGTTTTATTTTCCGGCTCCGTATCAACGAGACTTGACCAAGCTGGGCAAGGAAAGTGGGAAGAGTTCGTTAGACACACGAGTATACTGAGAAACAACAGAAATCAATGCATGTTTTCGCAGACTCCATGCATTCAGGTATTATTGCACGGTCAGCTGCCTTGTGCTGTTGGGGCGAACCCTTGCAAGTGTCTTCCCTAGAAATTTCTCTTTCAAACATATATCTGAATAGTCTGACTATTATATATAGCGCGTCCAACTTTTGTAATACCTGTCTTTTTTATTGTTTTGTAGCGTTTACCGGTGTTCCACACCATCAGTTGTGTAAGATCGCTACGGACGGTTGATCAGTTTCAGAAAGGAGTGAATAGGACAACGCATTTGCCCGGTTGGGAACCCATATTCGTTTATGAATTTCATCTGATCGAAGGCATGCTCATAATTTTTATATAGGTAAAAAAATTAAACCTACAATATTTATAAACACAAGATGGCCGCCATGTCAAGACGTGTGTCCGCCCTTGCGGTTTTTCCGAATTCACGTTACGGAGTTGTTCACGAAATCGTGAGCACCAAGTTTCAAAGTAAGCGTGAGGAGATGAAAGGAAGCTTGGAGTTGGTTGAACGAGTGGCTTAAGCCTTTTCACATCAGAACTGTTACGGTCGAGATGTGTCGAAAGTCGTATACAGAAAATTATCATCATCACGAACCACCCAAACACTGCGCCACCTATATACCGCTCTATGGCTGTTAGCCCTAAATGCTGCCTCGGCCGGGCTAGACTGCACCTGGCGCAGGTGCAGTTTAGCCTAATTATGTAGTCTAATTTTGTGTAGTAGGCCAGAATTCACCATGCTATCCTTCTTCATTCTTTGGAGAAGCGTGCGCGGTATCCGCTACACACTTGTTGGAAATTTTTGTTCAATTTTTCATGCAGTGGCTGATGACGATAAGTGGTTATGCGCCACAGTCAATAGGTGATCGAGAAGATGTTTTCTAATGGGTTGGAGCACTGGGCGACCCAGTCGGTGCGCGATTCGCATACGGTGACGCCCGGTTATTCCTTTGATGTTCTAAAACGCTTTGTTACTGATATTAACGCGATTCCTTTCCCGACATCAAACCTGCCTAAGGCCAGTTTAAAAACGAGTTCCTACCACTGTCGCGGCTCAGTGGTAGAATACTGGGCTGGCACGCAACGGACCCGGGTTTGGATCTTATTGTGTCATTAGTGTTTTTTTTTTCTTTACGGAGTTTTTTACGTTCGATACTCGCTGCGGTGGACAACTGAGGCGCTCCGCGTGACCCGTGCTCTCATAACAGCTTTCGCTGTAAAAAAACAAAAAAGGGTACTCAGGGATATCAATTCGCATCATATGTTAACACAGTTGCCTCACAGCAGAAGTAACCAGTGAGGACATATGCAGTGAAAATAAAATTTATAAGCCCTTCTCAAATAACAGTGCAGCGTGTGTGCAAACTCTTTTTATTAGGAAGAGGAGGAAGAGGAGGAGGGGGGAGGTAGGTATTAGCCTTTTCACGTACTCGTGTGAGAAGCTCCTGGATATCTGGAGAAAAAGGTGCTTGGAAAACTTTCGATCCATCATCTGATTATATGTTCGGTTCCATTATCTGGTAAATGAAATTCCGAGAAGCCTCAGTATATTTTAAAAGACCCCGTTGGTACTGCTACGATGTCTTACCCTTCTTTTTCAGCTGCTAATTGTACCTCGTTCGCGATTAATTCAACTTTTTTGCCTGTATCACTCCTTTGTGGGTGAAGTTAGAGTGTGGCGGGATTTTTATAGTTCCATCAATGAGAGTTGCTTTAGGTGGAAGTGTTTATTTACCTGACATTTCTGAAAATCTCGTTTCTTTTTTTCTCCCACTTAAAACGAGACATATCGCAGCATAAGAAATTTTGGCACTGGGAGCGCATTAGTGCTCGTGCAAATATAAGAAACTCAGAAACGCAGAGTCAGTACTATATTGACTACCGTTTCAAAAACGAAGCGCTCACATACGGGGGCTTTTATGAGTGCACTGGAAACAATGGAAACACGGTAGTAATGTTACAAGCCCGTCGTCTCGTTATTTACTCTGTCTCAACGAAGCAGCCTGCTTCAACATGTGCACTGAACATAAGTCGTCATTCTTTTTTGGCGCTTAATCTTCTCGCCAGAGCGCACTCTCATGTGCCGCGCAAAGTGACGTCTTTAGAGTCCTGACACGAACAAAAAATATTTGAAGTGTCTTTCTGCACCCAGACGCAAAAAGAAAATCTATGTAGTCGCGAATGCAGTCGTAGTCGCGGAAATACGTGAGGAAAAGCGAGGGAGCGAAGCATGCCTACTTACACATCGAAAGTTGTGCCCGGTGTCCGCTTCACACGATTCGCGCAGCCAAATGCCACCCAATAGCCCACCACCGTCGTCACTAACAGTGACCCAAGACGTGTTCGTAATCTTCCCGTTAAATAAGAGGCACCACACGCAACATAGCACAAAAACAACGCGAAAGCCACGTACGCTATACAATGTGCCCGTCCACTTTCTGCCATGGCGGCGCGTTGGCTTCAGCCATGGAGCATTACCGCTACTCCAGAAGTTTTAGTGTGACAAATCGTTGTATATAGGTGTTCTGTAGTCCTTGAGGGTAGTGGGCTTGCTGGGGTCCCCTGCTTGAGGTCGCATATGTCACATGTGTGGTGGCGCAACCAGTGACTTCGATGTAGGGCGCTGCCTCACGGAGGCGAAGAACATGACTACGTGATGCATGCTCTCGTGTCGCTAGCTTCATGCATATACCCAATTTGGTATTACGTGGGGCGAATAGGCGGCGAAGGTAAATGACCCGCCCGAACATGATAATCATATTACATGCGTGTCATGTAAAACGTTACTAAATGCTATGCTCATAGCACGTTCGCGGCCGTTTCGATAGCTTGACATGTACCAAATTTAGTATTACGTGACGTGAATGAATGACGAACATGAATTCCAGGCGCAAACATGATAATCATGACATGAAAGTCATGTACGGCATAATTTACGTCCGCCTCGTAACGTTGTGCTGATTTTAAAGTTAAATATCAACCTTCCTCATTCGTGCTTCGATGTCATCGATTCCCGCTGTGCGCGGGATCTGGTTTCTTTTTTCAAACTCTCTCATACAACGCGGGATTACACTGCATGCAGAACTTGCAAGAGATAATGCGATAATATCAGATGCATATAAGTCGCACTTATGTGTGATAAGTAGTATGGTGCGCTTCCAAAAGCTTACGCCGCGCGGCTATCAATTGTAAACTTAATTCTTTTCATTTCTTTAAAAAGGCTCTGGTTTCGTCACACACACCTTTTACGAGTTTCCGAAAATACTGCCATGTTTCTGAAATACTGCTTGGACGAATACTTGGGATAGTTTAATACGAGCGATTAAAGTTATAGATTCTAAAGCTTTTTAAAAATTGCAGCTGCTAATTGCTTCTACAGATCTCCACTACTTTGGCTCAGTAATTTGGCTGCTTTTGTACTGAGCATTTCTATTCAAAGAATGCGAAACTACACAGACAAGAAAAACAAGAGGTCACTCATTTGAATAAATGAATGTTCTTTATTTCACACATATCTTAAATAAAATGCGCACGAACTGTTCGGTCTCATACCAGTGGCGTACCAGGGTGGGAGGGGCGCAACCCGCTCCCCCCGCCACTTACCCACCTTTTATTATTTCGTAGCTTCGCGCTGACATGATTTAGAAATTAAGCGGTGCTACTATCACGAATATAATTCCTGGACGCTTTTACAGTGAATGTCTGCATACGAAAAAAACGTCGCAGTGTTTGTGAAGGATTTCACACTCTGAGATTTCGGGCAAGAATCTCGGCCGCGAGCGTTTTCAGTCGGCTCGGCGACGGGAATTGTGCTGCAGCAATGGTCGTACTTGTACCCGCTGGAACGTGCAGATATCGCCGGAGTAAATCATTACGATAATTTTCACTCGGCAGAGGTGAGTTTTCATGGTAAAAGCCATGCACAGTTTCAAGGTGATAGGCCACGTTCAAGCAC